ATGCACAGTAAATGAAGTGGTGGTCAAAGTATAGACCTGGCCCTGACTGAGAGAGTGGTTAAGGATCTTCTGAATTCTGCTTTGATTAAAGAAGATGAAGCAAGCTGAAGACATGAATGAAAAAATGTGTTGGCTGTGGATTTTAGTATATGAGGAATGAAAAAATTCTAACTTTGGCATGGGCCTATGTCCAGAACTGAATAATAATACTGTGAGAGATAATGCAAATAATGTTCTAATAAATGCTAGTGCTCTGTAGCTCATAAAGAGCTTAATGACATGTTCATAATGTAGCAAGGATACCTGCTTTTTATCCTTCCAAGTGTAGACAAACGGCTAACTGCTATAAAGACAGACAATATCTCATGTGTCTGAAATAAAAGCTAATGTCAGCTACTAATTTGTGAGTGTGAATGGGTGATGTGGACTTCTTGTTGTGACTACAAATAAAGGACTGATGACTTAAGGAATGTCAATTCCAGAAAAAAAAGATGAAGCCTATACATCCAGGGAGGGTAGAGACTATCTTTTAATTAAGGAGATGAAATAATTATTCTGTATAACAAAATATTTTAAAAAGTGTTAGACTTGTAAAACAGAGCATGAAGATGGTACTCAGAAGAAACAGGGATATGTATTCTTGTATGCCACAATTTTGAGACTGCATATTGAAATGTTTGGTCTAGTTCTGGTTGTCATTATTTTTAAAGGACATTGAAGGACTGTAGCTCTTTGGAGGAGGGGGCAGAAAATGTAACTGTACTCAGGCATGTATCAACCCAATTCCTCCTCCCACCTAAAAAAACAACCCCCCAAAAAAAAACCCCAAATAACCTACAAAATAAACCCTAAACCCCCTACAACATAATCTTCTAGATTTCTGTTGTTCAAGCCACCTGACTTGTAATGTGCAGGTAGTATTGTTTTTGCTTATGGGGTGGTTATATATTTAGGATAACTGAATAAAGTACACCTGTGTAAGGCTGCCTGGTAAGTTATGCAGCTGCAATGAATCCCAGATACAGGTGGGTGTACAGACCTGCAACAACATCCAAGGGTGCTACTCTGTGCCAGACTGAGCTTACTCAGATCCTCTTCCACCCTCTGTTCACATTGCTGTCTGTTGGATTCCAAGCCACATACTTTCTATTTCCTTCCCATCAGCTTTTCAAGGAATCATTGCTGATGTAGAGCCTGTCCACAGCTCAAAGTTGGCCAGATCAGATACAGAATTGGTATTTACTCTGGCATTCACTTTTGCAACTAGTAAAGAAAAAGAAAAAAATTGTAGATAGTAGATTGAAGAAAGTAAAACAGGCAGTAAGATACTAATGTGGTTTCTGTTGGTCCCCGTTGGGGTGATCTGTGTGTAATGGAACAGGAAAGCTTTGCTGATTAACTATTTAATATATAGTAAGATATGTGGTTTGTTCTAAGTGCAAGTTATTCACTTGTGCAGTTGATGCTTGTTCAGGACAGAGATCTTATTTCACATCTCTTGCTTTTGAAATATTCTTTTAATCTGATGATCATGTTCTGAAGAAGTTAGTATTAACATTATTTCCATTATTTTATTTTATTCCTTTTATCTAAATATGCCTTTGTAATGCCAAAACACAATGGAAGGTAAAAGAGAATTCTGGTTTTTGTTACATTTGCATGGATTTAATAAAATTTAAATGGTCACACCATAAACTGCAGTCCGTACTGGCACATGTGCTGGAGTATGTGGTAAGGTAAAAATAAAGGATTAAATAGTACTAAAATTGGCTTTTGTAATGTCAGAGCTTAATGTGTGTACTAGTAATATCTATTATTCAAACATCCGCCACTTTAATTAAAGATAAAACACTGTTAGTAATTTATGAATCTCAAGTTTAAAGAAGATAACCCTCTAGCTAAATCTTATGGTATGTTACCTTGGTGGCAAAGAAATGGCTTGATATGAGCCAGATTATAACTCAATTCTCATGCCATAAATCAGTGCATAATTTTTAAAAAACCCCAGGTTTCTGAGACACTGCTTGGCTTATATTTTACAAGCATTGCTGTGAGTTTATAAAATTAAATTTAACATCATTTTATTATAGATTTATATCACTTCTTTTGTCCCAAATGTAATTGTCTTATTTTTCATAAAATAGCAGGGAAGCATAAAGTAATGGATGACTGCCATTAGTTTCCCTCCTATTTGTGTTTTAAGAAATGAAGGTGTTGCTATTTATGCAATTTCTCAGTGTTCCTCAGGAGAGAGCATTCCTTTCTGCCACATGGGCAGAACCAAGTACTGCAGCAGCAACACTGGCCATGTCTGCTGTGGCTACTCAAAGCTCCAGTAAAAATCTAGGAATGTTTCCTTTCCTACAGGAAATCCTCAAGATTTCCTTTAGAATCTTGAGGGGTTGGAGGTACTTGAGATGCTGTAGCTACTTGTCACATGTTATTATGAAGCAGCATGTTCCCGAGGAGCAAAGAACCAAACGGTAACTGCAGCTGTGGTTCCAGTTTTGATGCCTGGGTAATAAATGTGAACTGTCATCATCAGGGATTGCAGTAGAGAATCCTGCTGTGAGGCTTCTTGCTGTTAGGTTTTTTTATTGGTTTGACCTTTGAAAACAGATTTATTTGTTGGATTACACATGGAATAAATAGCATATTTTAATTTCTCCAGATTTTTTCCCTGTTAGTATCTGTATATGTAACATAAAAATGCGGTAGTTTGTGAACGATATTCAGGACAATGTAATCCCATAAAATAGTATTTAGAAATTGTTTTTCCTTATAATGACCCATTTGATTTTTCAGGATTTTCCAGTAACCTTTAATGAAAGCAAACTACTGGTTAAATAATTTTGCAGATAACTAGGACATATTCGCATGAGTTGTTCATGACTTTTTCATCATCATCATCTGTGTCTTTATTTATCTACTGCTTAGGTCAGTATAAGCCACAAGTCCTAACAAAAGGAAGTTGATAAATACAGATGTTGCTAAATCTATAACTCTTTGTATTTTTTAATTCCAAATTTTGCACTTATTCAGAACATTTAGACTCGATTTACATTTTGTTGATCATTTCAGAACGTGCCAACAAGGATGTATGTATTTATCTCTTTTCAGTAGATGCATATGGTGTATGTCTGTCCTACTGAATGATTAAAATATGGGTCATTTGCAAGAAGTAATGATAATATTACAAAGCAGTTGCACTTGGAATCTAGAAAATTTTTTGAGCTACTATTCTATACTATACTATACTCTACTCTACTCTACTCTACTATACTATACTATACAATACTCTCCATAATAGATGACAATTGTAGACAATGGTCACCACAGATGATGGCAGTGATGCTTGCTATATGTTTATCTATAAAGAACACTCTAGCAGACTCTCATGTACAGTCCCATTAACTTGTAATGAAAGAATAAGAGGACACAGAGTTAAAGCAGAAGGCAGTAAATTTAAAATCAAATTGAAAAATAATCTTTCCACACAGGGAAAAATTTGACTACAGAATTCTCCAGCAAGTCACAGAATCAAAGTTAAGACTAGATTGACCATAAATATATGTCTGCAATGTGTAACTCTTGCATAGCATCTTTATTAGTCCTTTCTTTAATATTTTCTAGTAGTCAAGTAGTCAAATGTGTTATGATTATGTCTATTTTTTAGTTAAGCCAAGTAGTCAAATGTGTTATGATTATGTTTAAACAAATGAAGGGATATTAAGCACTACTTCTCCACACTAAGGGCAATCTGGATGAAGGCTATTGCCAGAATCCTTCCCATTACCACTATTCATTTCTCTTACTGTCTTTTAGACACAGATTGGGACTTTTGGCTTTTAAGGCTTAGCACAAGGTAGCTTAAAATTGTCAAAGGGTATCTTCTATTTATCAAAGGGAAATGGTGTTTTGTGGCTTGCAGGAAATGGGAGGTGAGTGTCCTGTACTTCGAAACCTTTGTGCTGTTCCTGCAGGGAGCTGATTTGAGTAATTCAGGGGCCTACAGTGAATCCCTTTAGTGGCCTGAAAGGGTTATCTAAAAAGGGGCTGACTTGCACAGAGAAATGTATTGTAGCCTCACATGTTTACAGTTTGGTTTCTGTTCCCCTGATGTCTGCCAAAACAAAGATTAATGGAGATGATGTTAATAAACTAAACCTGGGAATCAGTATAACAGCAATCTATCTTGACAGCACCCAGCCCCCCACTATGAGTTCCAGGAATTAAAAATACTTCTTAGCATAAATGAGTGAAACCTCTTCTTTCATACTCAATTATCAAATAGTTGAAGTAAGGAGAAAATTTAACAAGATCATTTCTTAATTTTATCCAGAAAGATGGGATGAAAGATCAGAGTAATTTCCTAGGGATCTGTGGGGAGGTTTCAGCATTACATGACCATTATTTTGAGAAGTAACAAGACGTAGCACCACAAAGGGTAGCGGTGACTTACAGGCATTACATTTAAAATAAATACCAGGACATACATGTTGGTGTAGTACAAAACCAAGCCACAAGAGATACTGGTATCCATAATCAGGCAGGATAAGTATATAAGATAAGATAAACAGGTTATAGAGCCATTTGGAGAACTGTATGATGAATAAACTGGAGAATGGTCTGCTTGTGTGATCTTTGATAGCTTTTATGTATCCTTGATAAAAACAGTCAAACAGTGAAAATCAATTGTTTGCACATCTCTCATCATCTGAGATTCAGTGTTACTGGCTTTATTGTACTTCCATTTCCACCCATGAAGACTGAGTGGTAACACTGGTCTACTTTCTTAGGTCATTTGAAATCTGTGGAAGAAAACTTTAAGGAGATCTTATGGAGTTATTTTAACCTTGATGGGATCTGCTGTCTTCAGGGTTTAAACCTTGCTTTGGTATTTTTAATAGTTAATGGAAAATTACAGTACTAATGCAACTATATTATGAGAGATTTATAAAACTTCTAAGGTTTTGCTTGTTTGTTTGTCTTTTATTTAGGGTCAAGTTGTTTTCAGAAATGGAGAGAGGATGGGAACCATCAAATTTACACAATTTCAAGGTAGGTTGCAAACAATTTAACTTAATTTTCATTATAATTAGGTAAACAGTTTCAAACTTCACTGTCAGTTGCATTTGTTTCAGGATGTGTTAAATATGTGCAATTACTTTGAAAAGGAACTTCTTGGAAGATGAAGCAAGGGATCTAAATAAGTTTTTGTTACTTGTTTAAGATAGTATGTTCTGAACCTTGAGTGCTGTGATGTATTTCCAAGAATTTTTCTTGATTACAATCCGCATGTTTATAGAAACTACTGATCTATAACAGCCAACAGCTGTTTGAAAAGCCATACTGGTCAGCTAAGCATCCACTTCTTAATACAGTTGTTTCTGAAAACTGAATCTGAAGAGGAATTTAGAGTGGATTTTTGCTATTAAACTCTTTCAAGTTAGTGTTTGTGCTCTCTGAAGACTCAATTGTGACATTCTGCGACTGCTTGCTAAAAGTTGCTTCAGGAGTCAGTCCCTCAGTGTGCAGAGGACACAAACTGCTGACCCCATCCCTTGGGGGCAACACGCTCCACAGCACGACTCACCAAGCCTGCTGCACCCTCTCAGCCTCAGCTGCTCCTGCAGGGAATGATCTCAGCAGCAGAGACCACAAATGCAGCCACGGGGATTTGTCAGGGGCCATTTACAGCCAGGATGAGGTACTTGCTGGGAGAGTTTTTGGCAGAGATGGCGATTCATAGAAGACATGTTATAGTTGTTTCTGTAGTTTGTAGAATGCAATTCATGGTTTTCTTCCTAGGCTGAGATAAAACTGGAGATGATTGCATTTGGACAATCTCATGAGAGTTGTAGTAAGCTGGGAAATTCTTTTCAGACAATGCATGAGAAAGAAGCTTGCACTCCCTTTGTTTTCAGGAGATCGCTTTAAACATAATCCAGCTGACCGTGTTACAAAGCCTCATCCTTTAAAGAGAAATCGTCTGCTGTATGGGCATTATTATTAATGAACAGCAATACACTTGAGGGGATCTGTTACTCATTCTAAATTACTGAAGCAGTCTTTGGGATTGCTCTTGCTTCACAGCTATAACTGATGCTATTAACTCATGTTCCCGGAAGCATTTCAACCCACTAAAACTTTGCAGACATCATCTCATGGTAATATAATTTAGGAATTCTTGCTCAAGACTAATGACAAATATTGATTGCTTCCTCTTCCCCCCCCCCCCCCCCCATTTTTTCATAATAGCAGAGTTTACAGCTACATGAAAGAACCATGAGAAAATTTTTACAAGAGGTGTTTATTCCTCAGAAGTCTGAAGGAGCTCTTATACATTATGCCTAAGGCAGCTACATGTACCCTTCTAGAACATCTGAGCAAGGAGGAAGTTCAGCACGTTCCCTCTGCACATTAAGGATGTGATTTAGGATCATGGGGAGGTGCAACATGCATGTTCTCAGCTAATCTGGAGGAGCAATAGAAGTCCAGGGTAGCTGACTTTATATTGGTTTTTATTTCCAGCCACTCAAATTAAGTTACTTTATAATGTTTTCAGTTTCAGATCAGATACTCTTCAACACTAATGGTTTTACCATCAGCTGAAGTACTGTTTGATCAATAAGAACATAAGAGACAGCTGTCCATTTTATAATTCCTTGCAGTTACAAAATTGCTTTTTCAGAACTAATTCAGGCACAAATTTGGGATTTTTATCATTAAACAAAGGTTTCCAATCAACCTGCAGGAAAATATAATCCAGACATCCTATGGAGAAATGCCAGAAAAAGGCCAGATTATCTCTCATGCAAGCCATAGTCTGTCAACACATCTTAAGGCTGGTCTCAACTCTTCTTTAGTTTCCCACTCATTTTGGAAATTAAACGAACGAACAAAAATATAAGAGAAATTGAGATAAGGAACAGTATAACAACACAGATGAAAGGGATCTTTTTCTTTTTTTTTACTACAAATTATATTGTAACTATTAACAGAGCTTTTTCTGTTCTTCTTTTAATGGTATTGTTTTTATATAAAGCTTTTATATTCAATACTTTTATATTCAATACAATTGTAGAAATTATTAATTTGTTCAAAAGAATCCTTTATTGGTTAGAAGCTTTCTGAAACCTTCTCATTAACTTTTTATAATGCTTGGACTATTGGGAAAGTTCCTAATAATGCAAAGAAGTTAATTAAGTGCAGTACTTAAAATGGAAAACGGGCTTTTTCTCTGTACTTGTAGCAGTTATGTTCTATCAAGCATGAGACAGATATACAACTCATTCATTAAACTGGTTTTTTGGACTGTAATAAAAATCATGATGATTTCTATGAAAAAAAGACTACATCAAAGATGTCTTGTAAATGCTTTAATGTGATTAGTTGCAATTATGAATATAGCATATATTAAATGTATTAGTAGCTTAATATCAAAACATAATAATTGGAAATCACCAGTTTTAGTGTTCTATACCTCAAGTCATTTCTTCCTCAATGCTGCTTTACAGTTTTTTAACAATTTGAATGAAAGTTGACACAGTTATCACAAATAATTCAATGCAGAAAAATAAAGCAGATAAATAGGTAATCATATATCAGAATATGGCCAAAGCCCCTGTTCCTTGTTTGCTAGGATGGAAAATCAGCTGAGCAGACTCAGGAGCTTAATTTTCTGTTCTTTGCTGGGAACTTTTGTTTTAATGAGACTATCTGTAAACATTTTGGCTATGGAAAGAGCAGAGAGCCAAGTCTGCCAGAGGCAAGGGAAAACCAACCTGTGAGGGTTCGGGGGTAACTGCAGCGTGCCTGACATGCTGTGATGAAATTTTGAATAGCTGATTTAATTTTGAATCTAGATACAGTTTTTCCCAAACACACGCTAGTTATCCCTCTTTTCCAGCTTATGTGCAACCTGTTGTTTTTGCAAGTGGTCAAACAGATGGTGCTAGACATAACTGTGACCAAACTACTTACTGCTTCATAGATCATGAATACTGGCCAGTAATTATTTAGTATGCAATAGAGAATACAAAGCACATGTAATAGCATTTTCTTCCCCTATCTTACTGGTAAATAAAGAGCAGCCTGTCAGTCTAGCTCAGATATTCAAGTGATGTTTGAAGTTGGCATCCTTCTGAATGAATGGCAATTTTTCCATGGGTGCAAGTAAAGGACTATTCTCATAGTCAAACATGTAGTTGAAGTAGATGGCCAAAATATTTTGTCTAGTGAGAGCTGAAA